TGCATAAATTCCCAGGCAGGCAGTGTAATTGTCTTAAATGCATTACAACATGTGACATTGCACTAAAAGTTTTCGCCTCACCTTGAATCACTCTCTGTGTAATGGAGCCAGTGCATTGTTTTTAGTCACTCGGTTAGGTGCATGTAATGTATGTAGCATCAGTAAGCAAAGAACCCAGAGTACATGTAAGCCTGTGATTTTATAGTAATATTAACAACACTAAGATATATGTTCTTAACAGTGAGTGAGAGACAGACAGGCACATAGAGAGAGAGATAAACACACAGGGACATACTTCAAAGGCAAATCTGGTCAAACGAGACATAAAATCTGAGTTTGTTGTCATAATGTGGACTAAAACTTTATAACTTTCATCTCTTTTAATTTTAATCAATATGTTAAGATGCACTAAAAGTAAGAACTGTGCGAGCATGCAAAATAGGAGCAGAAGTAGTCCATTCGCCCCCCCCAAGCCTATTCCATAATTCAATAATCATGCCCCATCCATTTGTGTTTCATATTTCATGTTCCCAATGACTCCTGATAGGTTGGGAATCAAAGGCCATCTACCTCCCTAAAATCTATGTACCTCAGCCTTAAAAACAATGTTATCACATCTCCACTGCCTTCTGAGTTAGAGAGTTCTAAAGTTGTATATCCTGCTGAGAGAAAACAAAAACTCCTTAAATGGCAACCGCCCCCCAGTGTTAAAGCAGCACCCCCTAGTTCTGGAGTCATCTGAGACTAAACATCTTTTCTACTTCAACCTTGTCAGGTTTATTTAAGATCTCATACACTTCGAAGATATCACCCCTCATTCTTCTAAACTCAAATGGAAACAAGTCCAGCCTGTCTAACTAACCCTCATAAAACAATCCACTAATTCCGGCTATCAATCCAGTAAACTTCCTCTGAATTACCTACCATGTATTTACATCCTTCTTTCAAGAAGGAAACCAAAACCGATCACAATATTTGTCATGTGGTCTCACCAGTGACATATCAAACTGAAACATAACAAACTTGCAACATTTTTCACTGTAGTTTGTAACAAGATAGATGTGACAATAAATGAAATAAATCAAATCTTCTTCCTTTTATGTTCAATTTCTCTCATAACATTCCATTAAAATAAAACAAAGAGCTGCACAGGGCCTTGTCGCATCTATGAAGAGAAACGAGTGTTAATGTTTTGAACAAACACAGAAGTTGCTGGAAAAGCTCAGCAGGTCTGGCAGCATCTGTGAAGAGAAAATCAGAGTTAATATTTCGTGACCCTTCCTCAGAACTGATGGTAGCTAGGAAAATATTGGTTTATATGCAGAAGATAAGGAGGGGGATGGGGTAGGGAGTAAACGATAGGATAAAGGATAGAGCCCAAAGAGAGTGACAAGCAATTGAATAGACAAAGGAGTTGATAATGATCTGACTGGGAGGGTGAATAGATGTCAATGGGGACTAACAATAGGTAGTGTGTAATGGCAGGTTATGTGATAACAAGTGTGTTGGGTAGGGGGCTAGGACATGGGAGAGTTTAGGCCCTAAAATTATTGAACTCATTAATGTTTTGAGTCCAGTGACCCTTCTTCAGAAACAAAAACAAAGTTGCTGGAAAAGCTCAGCAGGTCTGGCAGCATCTGTGAAGAAAAAAACAGAGTTAATGTTTTGGGTCCGGTGACCCTTCTTCAGAGTTCTAACAGTCCATCAGTGGCCTTGATTATTTGATCAGAAAGACCCTTCATTTCTGAAGAAGGGTCTAGGCCCGAAACGTCAGCCTTCCTGCTCCTCTGATGCTGCTTGGCCTGCTGTGTTCATCCAGCTCTACACCGTGTTATCTCAGATTCTCCAACATCTGCAGTTCCTACTAGCCTTGATTATGTGTTTGTTTCTGCATACCAACCTTTTGTGGCTCATATAATGGAACATCTAGACCCCTCTGCATTTCAGAATTCTGCAGTTATTGTCTGTTTAGGGAATACTCTTTTTTTTAAAATTGTTTCTACCAAAGTGAAGAATTTCACTGTTCCCACATTATACTCCATCTGGTAGATAATTGCCCACTCATTCAACCTATGACTACCAGTCTACAAACTACTTGTATCATCTTCCCAACACACCTTTCTACCTAACTTCATGAGATTTGCTAATTTAACCACTAGACATTTGATCCCCTCATCAAAGTCATTGACATAAATTGTAAAAAGATGAGCACAGATTCCTGTACGAGTCCACACATTGCATTATGCCAGTCAGAGAAAACGTCCATTTATGCCTGCGTTAAGCCTCATATTTTAAGAGTTGGGACTTAGGAAAAGCTGTTAACCTCAAGATTAAATCTTGCTGACATTTAGTTGATAATTTTGGAAACTGATTTGCATTTATTTCCATGAAGGTTATGTAACTATCTATGCTTTATTCTATTTCAAAGAGCATGGTATTTTTAACAGGGCAGTAAAATTGATAGACTGCACCTGCCATTTAAACTCACTTTGTTTAAAACTAAATAAAACCATCACCATATCAGCAAGTGAAATCTGAGCACAGCACATACAGTATTAAATTACGTAGATAAAGTAATCTCAGATTATTACTACAAAGTAAGGCAGCAAGTGGAATCAGAGGACATGAATAGAAATTAGTGAAACAACAGTTTAAAACAGATCAGGAAAATCTTCTTTAATCAAAAATGAATGAAGGTTTGCTATAATATATCAGAGACAAAGGGTTGGGAATTTTAAAGCCTACTGTCAGTCATGGATTATTGATAAAAATTTTGTCTCGGAGGCAAGCAGCTTGTAGGTTGAAGACCCATCCCAAGGGTTTAGTACAGCGTCTAGGCTGATGCTTCTGTGCTACTGTGTCACGGGTATTACTATTTCGGGGAGACAATAAATTGAGGACCTGTTTGTCTTCATCCACCCTCTTCTCTTGTCCATTTGTGAGTCTTCTGACTTTTTTTATGTTCGTTTCACAATTCCCAGTTTTCTGACCCTAGCCGTTTCCTTTCACTGTGGACACCCAATGCATTCACGTGTCCAGCTCCTATTAGGATGGTCTGAAGGCTCTCTGCTTCTTCTTGAAAGGAGGCCTGAACTGTCCCCATGCACACCACCGCCCTCCTTTGCCTGGCTGAGCTGTTCCCACTTTGAACAACTTTTCCTCTCACTCATCTCACTTTCTCCAAGTCAAAACTGTACCTATGGTAAGATCAGCACGGATCCCAGTTATGCCTGGGAAATTCCTTATTCCAGTTTTACTCGGCCGTACTCAGCTACAGCTCTTTCTTTGGAATGTCAATGACATCATCTGTGCTGCTATCTTCTCTTGTTGGAATTGGGGAAAAATAATCATCAGTTTTGCTTTCAATTTCCAGCCTTTAACCTGGTCCATCTCTGACTCTTCCTTTCCATGACCACAAATATTCATTAGAATCCTGCCAACTCCTACGGTTACCTTTCCGCACACACATCTCTGTTAGGACTCTATTCTGTTCTCCCACTATCTCTATTTCCATTGTATCTGTTTTGATGATCTTATCTTTCATGGGGGTGCCACTGTTGTGTCCTTCAATTTCCCACTACTTTTAACAGGGTCCACAGCCATGTCTGACCCATTTCCCACACATCCGCCCTCATGCTTTCCCCTTCCTCCCAGAACAATAGCATTCTCCTGGTATTCACTTACCACCCCACCGGTCCCCACATTCAAAGGATCATCCTTTGCTATTCTGCCAACTCTAGCAGGATGTCACTGCCAAATATGTCTTCCCCTCCCCTCCCTGACCAGCATTCTGAAGGGCCCATTCCCTCTGTGACACCCTGGTCCACTCTGGTAGGCCTGGAGCTTGGACTCAGGGCAGTGTGTGGGGCATTGATTGCGGTGGTGGTGGTGCCCAGAGCCAGAAATTCTGGCTGCAGTAGGCCCAGAGCGGAGACTCTGACTCTGTCAGCTGACATGTCATGTCCAAATATTAATAACATATGCAATGAACATTAAGCTTTTAGTTTCATTTTAACATGTGATTTCTTTTTCAGCCCATGACTATGTCAAAAGGATATTAGAGGCAGTTCCATTCCAAATCCTGTCTTCAACTTGAGAAATGTTTCAATGACAAAAACAGGAATTACTGGAAAAACTTAGATTCTGCCAGACCTGCTGAGTTTTTCCAGCAACTTCTGTTTTCGTTTCTGATTTTGAGCATCCATAGTTCTTTAGAGGTTTTTTTTAAGTCTTTCATTGAAGTGTTGGCTATCTCCATGATGGTAAACTTGAGGGACGTACTCAGGACTATAACCTTCATCCCTACTGAATCTGTGATGATCCCAGTTGATATTATTACTGAACAAGTCTGTTCTCATACTGAAATCCAGCTTGATAGATCATGTTTTGTTTTTAACAATATTATTTTACTGTAACACAAGTGCACAATGCTGGAGATTTGGTTTCGACAATAAAATAGAAGCTTATTGTCCAAAGGAAATTAAGATAAAATAGAATAAACCAAACTATTTACACTACACAATTTTAAAGATTTCAAAATATGCAGTAAAATAAAATCACATTCATCCTAACACCATCCCTTTAGAAGGCTCAAACAACAAAGAAAGTTCTCTTCTCTATCACACATACATATGTTTAACTGAGCTGATGCTACAGTTACCAGTCTGATAACCACTGAGTCTTCATACTTTTGAGCTTAGACTTTCTCAGCTTTAAACAACCCCCTGTTTTGACAGACAATTAAATCCAACAACACCCAACTTGGGACAGAGTCTTTGATAAAGTCTGGTGGCTAGGGTTCAGCTCTACTTGTGTCAGAAGAACACAAACCCTACAGCTGAACAGAGGCCTATGTTGTCTTGATTGAATTTTGTGATCCTGTGAAAAAGGTTCTCAGATCTTCGCAATTAGACAAGTTGGTGGTAAGTTAAAATTGACTCAGTTTTTGTTTCTTTATTTGCTTTGATGACACAATCTACATTTTATTTTGTTAGAGAAATATGCACCTGGACAACAAAAGCCAGATCAAGATAGAACTAGCACGGAAGGCAGATCCCCCTCAAATGACTGTGAATGACCACCTCAAAGTGTCAGCTGAGAACAGAGATTGTGGGGATCTGAAGCTTCTGGAAGGCTTTTGTGAGCTTCTGCCTAGTCAGGATGGAGAACAGGGTTGCTACCAGAATGGAGCTGTAGCATGTGAGCAGTACACCCTCCACTGTGAAGAATTCAGCCCAGTCATTCAACAGGAGTGGTGAGTTTGATGCTTTGGCTATTAACATGATAAAGTAAATGTATAGGAGTCATCAATATAATTATTTCTGTTGTGCCAACATTTGATACCTTATATGAAATGTACATAATTTGTGGAAAGGGACAATTCTTTATTCTCACTCCTCCTTTTTATGCCATTAAAAGGAATTATAGTCAGATCATTGATTTTGATGTGAAGTAATAAACTGTGATAAACACTCAAACCTCCCACAACTATACCTGATTGCTGCTTGAATATCCTGGTTTCTGAGCAATGTTTACTGACAGCTGTTAACTCGCTCTAATTATAAATAGCTCTTATAGAACCATAGAGTAATATAGCATGGACACAGGCCCTTCAGCCCAAACTGGTCTATACTGACCATGGTGCCCACTCAGCTAGTTCCAGCTGACTGCATTTGGTCCATATCTGTCTTAACCCTTTCCATCCATGTACCTATCCAAATGCTTTTTAAATGTTGTTATTGTACTTGCCTCAACCACTTTCTCCGGCAGCCCATTCCATACACACACAACTCTCTGCGTGACAAAGTTGCCCCTGAGGTCCTTCTTAAATCTTTCCCCTCTCACCTTAAACCTATGCCCTCTAATTTTCAATTCCCCATCCTTGGGAAAAAGATTATATGCTTTCATCCTATCTATGCCCCTCATGATTTTATGCACCTCAATAAGGTCACCCCTCATTCTCCTACGTTCCAAAAAATAAAGTCCTATCCTGGTCAACCTCTCCCTATAACTCAGGCCTACCAGTCCTGGCAACATCCTCATAAATCTTCTTTACACACTTTCTAGTTTAACTATGCCTTTCCAATACACGGCGACTAAAACTGTACACAATATTCCAAGTGCGGCCTCACCAACGACTTACACAACTATAATATAACGTCCCAACTCCAATACTCAATGCCTCGACCGATGAAGGCCAGCATACTAAATGCCTTCTTCACTACCCTGTCTACCTGTGACGCCGCTTTCAATGAACTATGTACTTGCACTCCTAGGTCCCTCTGTTCCACAACACTCCTCAGGACCTTACCATTTACTGTATAAGTCCTACCTTGGTTTGACTTTCCAAAGTGCAACACCTCACACTTATCTGTATTGAATTGCATTCGCCAATCCTCAGCCCACTTCCCAATCTGTTCAAGATCCCTGTGTAATTTTTGATAGCCTCCTTTACTGTCAACAATATCTCCTAATTTTGTATCATCTGCAAAATTACTAATCATGCCTTGTGCATCCACATCCAGCTCATTTATGAAAATAATGAATAACAAAAGTCCCAGCACCGACCCGTGTGACACACCATTAGTCACAGGCCTCTAGTTCAAGAAACTACCTTCAACCATCATCTTCTGCTTCCTGCCGTTTTGAATCCAATTAGCTAACTCTCCCTGGATCCCATGCAACCAAACCTTCATAACTAGCTTGCCATGTCAGCCCTTGTCAAAGGCCTAACTAAAGTCCATATAGACAACTTCAAGGTTTTGTGATGTTTCATTTTCCAACTAGATGATTCCTTATGTGAAACAAAAAAACCCTAGAAATTCCCTGAGAAAGCGTTTGATCTAAATGGGTCTCAGTTCACCCCATGGCCAAGTAAGTGTCAGAATTGATGGGAAGTTTACACATGCCTTACCCTGTACACAAGAAATACAGCTCTTGCCACTAAGACTTCTGCTATACTGGCACCACTCCTGTTCCATTCCCAAATTGCTGACCTTGATTGATAGGTAGACTTGGTAAACCTTGACCACTGGTTGCCTAGTATGACCTAGTGCATTTACCTTGAAGTATTGATGGCACCGTTGTTTGGAATGGTTGAGTCATTTAAATAGATAATGATGGAGGTGAACTTATACATTCAACTACCTGTGCTCAAACTGAGACCTAACCATCCTTATACTCATTTCAACAACACATCTACACCCAAACTTACACAGAATGTGCTCATATGGTGCAGTAACATCGTGGTTATATTATTGGGTTAATAATCCTGAGGTAGTAATGAACGTTTGTTTCTGACACTGATACTATGAAGCTACTCTGCCTCACTAATGTCTTTTAGGGAAGAAAACCTGCCGACTTTATATGGTCTGACTTGTATGTCGCTCCAGACCCACATCAATGTTGTTGACTTCTGAAATGACCCAAGAAGCTGTTCATTTGTATTCAAGAAAGTAACCCCTGTGGCTATCACCAAGCTCTTTCCCATTGCAAAACTCAGCCTGCACCCACCCTCCCCAGCAATAAGGCACCCCAGCAATAAGCCACATTCTCCCAAGGTAGCCAGGTAAATCATGGACTTTCCCAACTCTTGCTACCTGCCTTGAGGATGAAAATGCAGGCAGAGACACAGAAGTCAGCTGCTGCCATGAAAACTATTGTTTTTAAAATTTATATGTTAGCCACTGAACAGAATGCTGGTAAGAAAGAGTTCTATGTTTGAAGAGATTGGTGTTGTGGAAGTTGAAGTACAAGGAGTCACCAGACTGGAAGCTAGTTTGGGGACACACGGAACACCGGGTGAAACAATTTTCACAGAAACTTTGGAAGTTTCACCTTGATGTGGTACAGTGTAAGGAGCTTATTGAAAAGCTGGGAGCACCATGAAACTTTAAGGTTATGTATTTACTGGGAACTTGGTGTGAAATTAAAAACTTATCACAAAGTTAGTTGATAGTTCCTCGGGAATTACCTTTTCTCTGCTTTAAGTATTAGTTGCCTGTTCAGTAATAGCAAATCTATAATTATTTTAGTTTGTTATAAAAAAAGACTTAAAATGTGAAATATTGTTTTGCAATGTTTTCAGTTGCTGGTAAATTAATTTCTTTTTGTTTCAGAAATTATTGGGATCAAAATATAAAAAGTTGAAGTCACATGGTCTTACCAGACCATGGGGCTGCTCTCTCATTAAAGAGAGATGATTTAACCCGAAGGTCACAATGCCTCCGGTGAGGGGAATGATTGAGAGGGAGGCTCCTTCAGAGCAACTTCAGTTGGTGCAGGAATTGAACCCACGATGTTGGTATCACTCTGCATCACACACCAGCCATCCCACCAACTGAGCAAATGGAAAACAGTACATATTAAACACTGTTGCTGATCAATATCAAAAACTACATCTTAAAAGAATTAAAATATGTACTCATAATATTACTTGATGGAGATTTGATGAGTTTTAGAATAAGTACTCATAATATTACTTGATGGAGATTTGATGAGTATTGGCACTCTCATGTACATTTTGCTGCCTCAGTTACTTTATGCTTATTGACAAGGTCAATGGTATAGTGCCATGCTAGTGGTTAAAAATGGACCATCAATTTGATCTCTGTCATCTGATTTTTGTTTTTATACTTGACTCCTGTCATAAACTAAAAGGTTTTAAGAAAAGAAAATAAAAGCACTGAAAACAATGATCACCTGAGCACAGGTTGAGGCATTTGAACAAAATATTAATGAACAAGAACCAGTCCGAAATGTCTGAAACAGTCATTTAGCTCTGGAACGCCTATTTGATTCACAACATTCCTGGAAGTTTCACAGACTGGGATGAAAGTTATCTGCAGAATTTGCAGTGTGGGAAAAAAAACAATGAATTCTGACATGGAAATACACAAAGCAACAGTATTTCAGGTAACAGTTTGTGGGCAGAGAGAGTGAGAGAGAGAAGGAAATAGATTCATAACAGCAGACCTGGAAGGTTTTCTCTCACTCTGCTCTCTCGTGTGCGCTCTCTCACTCTCGTGCTCTCTCTCTCACTTTCAACAACTGGTGAGAAGCCGATTGGAGAAATATTCATTCACTGAGAATGTATAACAGTCTGTAAATTTCACTACTACTAAGGATACAAGCCATCATTTAAATAACTGTGGTTTCAGGTTAAAATCTGACACTTCAAAAATTCTAAGAACTATTTTGTAAAACTTTCCTATTCTTTATCTTTCTTTTTAACTGGGCAAATTCCCTTTTTTAAATTTTGTATGTTTAATACTGCAATTAATCATTTTTCTTTAATTCATGAACAATAAAATTTGTCTTGCTTTTCCTTTCAAAAGATAACTTGTAATTGGATCCTTAATATCCGCTCGTACTATGTTTAATTTGTGTGATATTAGCTGCGTGCTGTAAAGAATTAAAAAGCTTTGTTGCAGCTGACCGAGGTGTGGGTTAAAAAGAGGGGAGCCTATTAATTTTTTCTCATGCCTAATAACTGTTATAACTCATGATACAGTGCATCATTGGAATAAGAAAACAGATGTATTCAGTCCCTTGAGTTTATAGTGCTATTCAATTTGAACATGTGTTATCAGCTCCTCAACTTCATTTACCAGCCATTTGCTTCATTTGATTCAGTGTCTGGTGATCTCCGTCCTGAGAAATTCAAGTGCCCTTATTTCTGAAAAATTTTAAACTTCCCTTTGGGACATGTATATAAATTAGGGGAGCTTTTCCTATTTGTTAAGCATCCTGCTGTGATATTGCCTTTAATTGGAATGTTCAGCTCTCCTTTGGGAATGAGAACCTGTGCTTATCTTCTGCTCATTCTAGGTCACCTATTCTCACATGTACATTATCTCTGAGCACTGTCACAGTCACTGTCTCCTGCCCATGCTCAGATGGAGGCATTAACTCAAAGTTGCTCTTACAAGTTTTTCACTTCTGTTCAATTCAGCTGTTAGAACGTTTAACTTTCCAAACGTGAGTCTTAACAATGTGGCTCCATTTTTTTGCAAAACTGCTTGAAAGTTGAGATAGTAGGAACTGCAGATGCTGGAGAATCTGAGATAACAAGGTGTAGAGCTGGATGAACACAGCAGGCCAAGCAGCATCAGAGGAGCAGGAAGGCTGACGTTTCGGGCCTAGACCCTTCTTCAGAAAATTTCTGAATTTCT